ATATTACAAAAAAAAATTGCACATACAACTAGACCGCTGATTACTTTTCTGGAATCGGTCTTCCATAGCCGACGTTCTGAAATAATGTCCTGTAAAATGTAATATCCTGGGGGGACGGATTGTTTTTTTGCATGATTAAGAAGCCCAAAGGTGAAACAGAGATGAGAAAGGTTTTCCTAACAATCGACGCGTTTCGTTGCCAACATCGATGGTATCATCAAGCTGAATAATTAAAAACTTTCAACGAAAGTCTAGCATACTTGATCTTTCTGTAGCCGTCAAGCAGAAAAATATTGTCCTCAAGCGTCATTAAAAACATGCAAAAACTTTAATGCCAGGTCTCCTGCTTGATCTTTGGTCGCCATGCATGCTGCGCAACAAACACATCTGTTTTTCCAAAAGTACTCCGCTGGTCCTTGAAGTCGAAAATTTGCTGCCTAGCATGATTACCAAAAAACTTTGCTCTTCAGCGTAAAAAATGAAGTAGATGCTAAAATTGATTAAATAAATGGTAAAATTGCGACGGCCAGCCAGCAAATGATGGGCAGCATGAAAGGCGAGCGAATCCCATTGACCCTCATGTTTAAATCTTCGGTGAAATTGCAGAATCATATGTTGAAACTGCTATAACTCACATTTATCTGGTTACTTTGGACTGGCTATGGAAGCTTTGAATTTCCTTTTATTTGTAGAACTTAATATTTATCAGCAACCGCAAAACGCGTTTTCTGTAGGTCGTAGCGTTTGACAATCGTCTGGTTATTCAATTATACACTTTTCTGAGTTTGATTGAAAGTTTAGAAGTCAGTCGGTTAGTTTCGACGGCAGTTTTTCCTTTCGGGCCATGGAAGCAATAGGATCCGACAGTGCACCCAACGTTTCTTATCCTACGCCAGTGCCTGAAGATAACCAGAGTATGAAGCTGAAAGTTTACTGCTTAAAAGAGGTCACAGAAAATGCTAAATTCAAAATACGGAATAAATAAATAAGTAACAGAACAAATAGGTAACAAGATGATATATTCATTAACGGGAACAAATTAAAAAGATGTCACATACAATTGAGTCCATACTGATGCAAAGTAATACCGTGTTACGCTGAGCATAGCAAAATAGTGCTGACGATCA